AATTTTTATTTACTTACAAGCATTCAGAATGTCAACAAAACAGCTGCTATTTTTTGTTTGTTTGCAAATACAGAGTGGTTTTCAGTTAACAGGAAAATTGTCTTATAAGCTGTAGCAGACAACTGGAGATGAAAAACAAGAAAACCCAAACTACTATCACATATATAACTAATTTATGCTGTGCACCAACAAGAACCTTCTTTAATATGCAAGTCAATTTCCAAACCCCCTACTGGACCAGGCAAGGTTAGTGGCTGTTGAAAATGCCATTAGGATATGGCTAGCTAAAGACACTTTTGGTAGTATGTTAACTATACAAAAATAAAACAGAACATGTACAGTTTAAAAAGACACAGCCTTATAATTAATTTTTTTTTTCTTTTAAAAGATGTGAGTTTTTGGAATCCTACACATGTTGCCTAAAGTGACGATCTCTGTGTGTACAGTTTAATTTTCTTTCATTCTGTGTTTTATTGTATTGGAAGAACTGGAATTTTATAGGACTGTAGTTCATCAATTTTGACAACTCTTCAGGAGTGGTTAACTTCTTATTAAGTGGTTCTATTTGTGCATCAAAACATAAAAGGCAAATAAGAATCAGTTTTCTTCACAAACTATGATTCAACATTACAAAAAGATCAAGGATTCACAAGGATTTCTGCCACTGCTGTCATAAAATTACTTTACCAAAAAAGGAATAAATGGATTATAGAAACTTGAAAAAAAAAAGAAGACGACGAAGAAGTGAGTTTTGTTCAGGGAGGCTTTATGTTGTGGTTGTTGAGTCAGTTCCGACTCATAGCAACCCTGTTTACGTGGAGCAGCTAGTGAGTTTGATCTGCCAACCTTGCAGTTCAAACCAACCTTATTTGTTGTTGTTGTTGTTGTTAGGTGCCATCGAGTCAGTACTGACTCATAGCGACCTTATGCACCACACAATGAAACACTGCATGATCCTGGGCCAACCTCACTATTGTTGCCACATCAATGCTTGAACCCACTGATGCTGCCACTTGGCCAATCCATCTCACTGGAGGGGTCTTCCTCTTTTTCTCTGACCCTCCACCTTACCAAACATGATATCCTTCTCCAGGAACTGGTCACTCCCAACAATATGTCCAAAATATAAGAGACAAATTTTGGCCATCCTGGTCTCCAAGGAGCACTCTGTCTGCACTTTTTCCAACACCGATCTGTTGGTTCTTTTGGCAGCCATGGCACTTTCATTATTCTCCTCCAACACTATAACTCAAAAGCATCAATTTTTCTACGGTCTTCCTTATTCACTGTCCAGCTTTCACATGTATATGAGGTTACTGAAAATACCATGGCTTGGGGAAGGGGCACCTTAGTCTTTGCTCTTAGATACTTTAAAAGGTCTTGTGGAGCAGATTTGCCTAATGCAGTACGTCGTTTGATTTATTGACTGCTGCTTCCTTGAGTGTTGATAGTTGATCCAAGAAGATTGAAGTCCTTGACAACTTGTCTTCTTAATGACTTTTTGCTTTCTTCCTTTATGATGTTCTTAATGTCTTCCCACAACTCTTCTGGTCTTTGGTCTTTAGTGTTTAATGTATCAAATCTGTTCTTCAGATGATCTCTAAATTCAGGTGGGATATATTCAAGGTCATATTTTAGCTCTTCTGGACTTGTTTTCATTTTCTTCAGCTTCAGTTTGAATTTGCATATGAGTAATTGATGGTCTCTTCCACACTCTGCCCCGGCCTTGTTTTGACTGATGATATAGAGCTTTTCCATCGTCTCTTTCCCTAGGTATAGTCAATTTGATTTCTATGTATTCCATCTGGTGAGGTCCATGTGTATGCTGTCTCTCTTATGCTGTCTAAAGAAGGTATTTGAAATCAATTGATTTTGCAGAGTTCTATCATCTGATCTCCAGCATCATTGCTATCACCAAGGCCATATGGTGGACTCCAAATGCTTTATAGACTAAAAGGCGGGGAGGGGTGGAAGAAGTGCTAGAACCAAGTTACTCATCCTCATCTTTTAATGCATCTTCATCCTCTTCCTCCTCTTCATCTTCCATGTCTTCTTTGTCTTCCTTCTTTGTCTTGCTTTTCTCAGCCTTTAGGACTCCCTCTTTGGCTGCATTGGGCTTTCCTTTAGCCCAGTAGGCAGTGATATCCTTTTCATATTTTTCCTTCAGCTTAGTGGACTTCTTCCCATAACGCTGCTTGTCGTCAGCAGCAGTATTCCATATTTCTCCCATTTTCTTCACATCATCACCAATTGACCAAGATGCACGCATTTGATTCTGGGACCATACTCTGAACAAAGCAGGAAGAAGGTTGAAAGAGGCCTCTTGGTTGCATTGGGATCCTTGAACTTATTTTTTTTCTCCCTTTGAGGAGGGATATAGGTTTTCATTTCTCTTGTCTGCTTTTGCCATGTTTTTATATTTTCCTATCTCTTTAGTAGATATGGTCTTCCACCTCTCTGAGCAATTCTTGGACAATTCTGAGAAGTTGAATGAAGCGTTTGGGTGCTTCTTCTTTTGCCCCTCCCGTCAGGTTTACACACGTACAAAATAATGCATAGGATGGCATTTTCCCTCTCAGCTTCTTAGCATCTTCTTTGCCCCATGTTTAGAATTTTGGATTTTTTTTTCTCTGCCCATGAGACACATGGTGCTGTCTCTGTGGAGCTCAATGTACTGCAATGGCTGTGAGAGTGGGAGTCAGACATAGCCTGCCCTTTTATATGCTGTTGACTGGTTTTTATATCCAGGAGCCTCAAGAAAGTCTCTGAGCTATGTTACACACACACATACATATAGCCTCAGTCTGCTGCTGGGGGCTGGCCCAGAAAACCCCGACCTTCTTGTCAATCCTGATCTTGATTGTTTAGCTGAGCCTCTGCTTCAAATGTTCCCAGATGGGAATTCCCATCATTCAGTTCTTCCCAGCAAGGATGAATAAAATGAACTTGTTATTCCTCTTAAACATTGGGGGAAGAGCAGATGTTTCCCTTGGTCACCTCAGCCTCCTATAGTAATACATTAGAACCTTTGTACCATCTCCATTGACGTCTCCTATATTCACTCTATTTCCTGGTAACCATCTCTCTCCTACTGGGATAAGCTCTACCCTAGTTGCCTCTTCCCACTCTCCTATGAATCACCCTTTTGTTTCTTGAAGTATAAAAGTCATGAGGGAAAGTTGCGCCACCACTTCTGACACAGTCTCTCAGCTTGTTGGTTTGTTTTACAGTAATAATGTTACATGGGGTGCCCAAGTCGAAAGGACATCCTTGATTACCATGTCTCCTATGATCTGTGTAATATGGCTTATTGTTGTTGTTAAGTGCCGTCGAGTCAGATCCGACCCATAGCAACCCTATACGGGGTTTCCGAGGAGCGACTGGTGAGCTTGAACCGCCGACCTTGCAGTTCAAACGGCTTTGCAGTCCAGCATATTAACCCACAGCGCCATACCAGAACTCCGTGTAATATGGCTAGAAGGGCCTTAATAAATAATTAAGTGCCCCACAGGAGACCCAATCACATGAGCCTCTATTCTCTATAGAACAGGGATACTCATACAAATTATGCAAAAATGGTTACGCTGTTAAAGAGAAAGCACGCAAAGACCTGACCTTGGTTGGTGTTCAGTGAGTAGACAGAAGAACATGGGCAACCAGGGACTTCCTTTAAGGTTATCATACTGAGTCCTGAGGCCTTCCTAGACCTTCACCTACGAAGCATAGGGAGGAACACAGGAAAAGCGTATGCCAGAGTGTGTTTGTTACTCTGGGGTAAGGTCAGCAGAGGGAGTGGGCAGTTCTCAGTCATTGAGGCTTCTCATAAGATTTAAATAAGACCAATCGGAGGACTCTCAAATGATTACTAACATTGGTTTCATTCATTCTCAGGTTGAATAAGTTGGAACCCACAGAATAAATGAGAAAAGAAAGTCATTCATAGTCTGAATACATACAGTGTTAATGTTTTTGAATGTTTCCTTTTAGTCCCTTTTCTATACCTATGTTTTTCATTGATTTCGTATTTTTATATACCTGTGAATGTTAAATTTTTTATATACCAGATAGTCCAAACTTTAGCAAATGGTATTTGCTAACCCTAAAATAATGAATAACTGTTCATTTTTTTATATACATGGTTATACCTGGTTATAAATTACTTTATATACCTGTAAATATTAATTTTTTTTATACATGGTTATAAATTACTTTAGGCATGCTATAATGCTCATGTTCCAAACTCTGTCAACTTAATTTATTAGCTATATCATATTCTTCTAAAAGGATATATACCAAAAAATTAAACAAAGTATTAATTTATGTGAATGTTGTTGTGAAGTGCCATCGAGTTGGTTCTAAATCATAGAGACCCTGTGCAGGATTTCCAAGGAGCAGCTGGTGAGTTTGAACCACCGACCTTGTGTTCCAGTACCTTATCCTGCAGCGCCACACCAGGATTCCAATTTACATGAATCATTTTTCTTTAAATAACCAGGTAGTCCAAACTTTATCAAATGGCATTTGCTAACCCTAAAATAATGAATAAATGTTAATTTTTTTTTAAACTGAAAAAAAAAAGATACATAAAATATTTATGTTTTCCTTTCTGTTGAACATTAAAGTACCTCAGTGGTGCAAATAGCTTGCTCTCAACTACCAGCATGAAAGCTGGTGGTTCAAATCCACCCAGCACTATCATAGAAGAAAATATTTGGTGATCTGTTTCTATAAAAATGACAGCTAGGAACATCCTATGGAGCAGTTCTACTGTTATACACAGCTCAACAGCAGCTCACAACAAAAACTACTGAACGTTACGTTTTTTCCAATTTTCTGTCATTCAGAGAATAGCAGCTTTCTGATCCAGAACGTGGCTTCTCTATTACCAATCACAGATAAGAGTTAGACTCAGAGTCTTCCTAGAGGGGCCCACAGCTATTTGGAGGTGGCATGCCCCTTATCTTCCATGCTCATATTTTTCTCCCTTGTGCCAATTTCAGACAGTAATATCCAGTTACCCTTCAGACATGGATGTGATTGACGGCAGGATCTTCTCTCCACCCAAAAATGGCAATGAGTCAGCGTCTTCAACACCGGTATTTCCTGTGTCACCAGAAACGCATGGTAAGAAAAAAGTAGAATAAGATAGTCAAGAACCCAATGATCTCCAACCTTTAAGGAAGCATTACTACAGGTCTTAGTTAATGCTTTCTTTTCCAGTGAAGACGCCGCTCCACTATCCTCAGTTCAGCCCCTCTGAGCCACAGATGAGCAACCCTGCCAGTCAGTACAAAGGCGCACAGGGTAAGAAATGCACCTGTTTCTGATATGTTATAAGAAATGGGCAGCTTCCTTAGATCTGGGTGGTATTTTACATGGCCACCATCTTTACAAATGTGTCCTCTTATGCAAAAGCGCTTTGATTTGCATCATACATCTAAGCCTTGGTGAGGATGGGTCTTTTCAGAGGGAGGGAGGTGTAAGAATGCATTTAAGAAACCCACTGGGGGTCCAGAAGCACACCATTGATTCACTTCCTGCAATTCAAAGAGGGGACTATTTTTGTTAAACACTTTCCATACTGCCTACATCCCCTCCACTCCGTTCCCATCCTTGATGGTGGTAGTGGTTGTGTGCTGTGGAGTGGCTTCTGACTCAGCAACCCTGTACAGGGTCTGAGGCTATAAATCTTTACAGGCACAGAAAACTTCATCTTTCTCCCATAGAGTGATTGGTAGATTCACACTTCTAACCTTGTGGTTTGCAGCTCAACTCATAACCCACTACACTACCAGAATTCTTTCTTCCCATCCTTGGAAACAATCAATGAGTGTTTATTTATATGTGCAAACCTTCTTTGGACTTTGTAAAGTTGAGGTCTCATATACTATTTGCCCTTTTGTAACTGACTTAGTTCACTCAGCATTATGTGCTCCAGATCCATCCACATTGTGAAGTGTTTCACAGATTCTTTGCTATTTATTTATGTGGCATAATGTTCCATTGTGTGTGCACCAGTTTGTTTATCCATTCATTCATTGGTGGGCACTCTAGGTTGTTTCTGTCTCTTTTCTACTCTGAACAGTGCTGTGTTGAACATGGGTGTACATATATCAATTCATATCTCCGAGGTGGATCAGCCAGGTGGCATCATTGATGGCGTCAAGTGTGGCAGCGGTAGTGAGGTTGGCCCAGGATCGGACATTGTTTCATTCTGCTGTGCATGGGGTCGCTATGAGTCGGTTCCGACTCGATGGCACCTGACAACCACAACAACAACAAATCCTGGCTCTTACTTCTCTAAGATATATGTCTAGTCATAGGATTGCTGATTCAAATGGTATTTCTAGTTCCAACTTTTTAATGAAGCACCATACTGTCTTCCATAGTTGTGTTTCTTCCCCCCTCCATAGCATTTTCAATGAATGATTTTTTTAGAAATAGATCACCAGGTTTTTTCTTCCTGAGCGCTTCTGGATGAATGGGTGGACTCGAACTGCCAGCATTTTGGTGTTCTGTATGCACCACCGAGGGACTCTTCTCTTTATATATAGAATATAGCCATTAAGCTAGCCATAATTCTTCATAGGTGAGCCTCAAATTTAGAGTGAGAAAAATTGTATGCAGTGTCATAGCTTTTATATTTATGCTTTATATGAACAGTGCTGTGCCGGTCCAACTCAAATGGGGTGGGGGCGGGTTGTCTTCCTCTTTTTTGCTGACCCTCTACTTTACCAAGCATGATGTCGTTCTCCAGGGGCTGATCCCTCCTGATAATATGTATGAAATATGAGAGACAGTCTGGCCATCCCGGCTTCTAAGCTGCCTTCTGACGGTGGCAGGAACAATGGGCTCAAGTATAGCAACAACTGTGAGATTGGCGCAGGACCGGATAGTGTTTCGTTCTTTTGTGCATAGGATTGCTATGACCCGGTACCAACTTATCAGCGTCTAACAGCAACAACAAGGTGAACAGTGTATCAGAAGGAGTGTGTTTGTTCAACATTAAAAGGCACATATATACGTATCATTTACTGAGTCAAAGACAGGTTGACCCTGAACCACGGCAGTCCCACGTGTGCAGAGAGGAGCTGCTCATGGGTTTTCAAGGCTGTGACCTATTGGAAGCAAATTGCCAGGTCTGTCTTCTATCTAAAGTGCCTTTAGGAGGATTTGAAGCACCAGCCATGTGCATCACTCAGGGACTCCCACACATATGAGGGGTCTTCCAAAAGTTAATAGAAAAGAGGAATGAAAAGATAATGGCATTTTTCTACAAAGTTTCTGAAGCACGCATAGCAACCCTATATAGGGTTTCTGAAACTTTGAATCTTTGCAGGAGCAGAAAATGTCATCATTATCCCACAGAGCGACTGGCAGGCTTGATCCACAGACCTTGCTGATCATATGGAAACACAACACTCCTTTGCCATTAGTAGTCCAATGCTATCCTATAGCACCACACCATGACTCCAGCTCCTACTCTTATCCCCATTTTAAAACTAAGGAAACGGACCCAGACAAGTTAAATAAATTGCTTATACCACAGAATAAGTGGAAACGCCGGAGTTTCAGACCAGCCTGCCTCATTCCACAGTCATACAATAATTTTCTTGCTATTTTGACCACTTTTTGTTGTTCAAATTGTCAGATTACACAAGACTTTAGTTTCAATTTTCAGTGTCTATTTTTCAAGGTTTATTTTCCATTTCCAGTGTCCAGTGTGGTGCTGGAGGATAAGTACTTGACCTCAAGGTCAGTTTGAACCTCAAGGTCATTGATTCAAACTCATCAGCTGCTCCTTGGAAACCCTCTACAGGGCCAGGGTCACTATGAGTCAGAATCAACTAGATGGCACATACCAACAACAACAATGTCTAGCCTGGATATGATTTAATATAGTAGAAAAAGTACATGTGAGCCTCTAAATTCTGGGCTCTAAATTTAGAGGCTCAAATCCAGTCCCAGAGGGCTGGCTTTTAAATCCAGGCCCAATCATGCATTAACTGGGTGACTGTTAACATGTGACTTCACTGAGCCTCTCTTTCCTCATCTACAAAACCGACGATAATACCTACCATGTGTGAGTGTCACACAGCTAAGATAATATCCACTAACTATCTCAGATACTGCCTGGTCATATATTTCCTAGAACTAGATAATCAGATAAATTTGTCATTTTAAAACTAAAAAAAAAAAAATTTCCAGGCTCAGTTGATTTCTATAAATGGAAAATTCCTCCAAAAGTTTAAAAACAATGAACACCAATGAGGTGTGGCCTAACCTTCAGAAAGTCATTTGACCCTCATTCTTAGTTCTTTAAATCCATACTGACACCTGAGGCTAATGAATGGAGGCTGTCCAGAACAAAAGGGCCACCTGGGGGCTGGTACTTACTAAACCTCACTAGGTATTATGTTGTTGTTAAGTGCTGTTGAGTCAGTTCTGACTCATAACAATCCTGTATAGGGTTTCTGAGGAACAGCTGGAGGCTTTGAACAGCCGACCTGTGGTTCGCAGTCCAGTGCCGATCCACAACACCACAACCAGAAGTCCACTAGGCATGATACAATCTATCTTATCCACATGGTTCAGCTGACAAGAGCCCAGAATTTAGAGGCTCAAATGAAGCTTCCTGGTTGGCAACCATGCGCAGAAACTTTGCATTTTGACCCCTCCAGTTGCTGTAGTTCTTGTTAAGTGCCATCGATTGGGTTCAGACCCATAGGGACCCCTCCCATACCTCACCCTAAAGGAATCCCGGTAGCTAGTGTGGTGGGTTACAAGCGTCAAGTTCTCTTTACTTTCAACGACCAAGGTTGTGTCATCTGCATATCACACATTGTTACTCAGTCTTCCTCCAATTCTGATGCTGTGTTCTTCTTCATATAGCTAGTTTCTTGGGTTGTTTATTCAACATACAGATTTAACAAGTACAGCGAAAGGATAGTGGTACCCTGAATTTGGTTGAGATGGCTTTTCAAGAAATATGAATCCCTTCCAGTGTCTTCTTGGTTCCCACTGGGTGACTGGGAAAGATCACGCACATAAGGTATACAGGACTCTAAGGCTGGGATTGGGTAGTTTTGCAATCCAGCTAAGTTTTAAAGGAGCCATCTCAGAAGCAGGAATAGATGATCCTAGAACCAACAAGAAAGAAGAGCATGCGATCCCTACCTAAAAAAATGGTGAAGGTGATGGCAGAGGCCACTGCCTCTGGAGAGACAGCAGTTGCGGGCTCTAGGTCCATGGACTGAGTAAAGCCAAGTGCCTGTGGGCAGGAGACCGGTTTGCAGAATTTGCCATCTGGGTATTTACAAACTGGTTAAAACAGCTTTGTAACACTTGCCTGAGCAGGGTAGAGGCCAAGGGACCACATGCCTGAGAGGCCAAAGACAAAAGTGAGATGTGCCCGCAGTATGGCAGACAAGAAACATTCCTGACTGGACAATTGCTGTGCCCTGAGATTTTCTGATGCTGAGTTGTATCCTGCTCCCTTCCTCAATAAACCCCAGAATCCTGAGCATTGTTATGAGTTCTGTGTGGCCATTGAAATGGATTATCAAACCCAGATATGAACCAGAGAAGGAAGGTTGGTCTCAGGATAGGGTAAATATGGTTGTAGGGTGGAGGCATGTCTGACTTCCACTTCATAGAAATTGACCTTGTGCTGATTTTGAGTTCGTTTCTCTTTCCCTTTGTGGAATCAGAGGAAGTCAGACATGGTCTCCACATGGTTTTTGTAGAATGCAACCCAGACACATACTTTTTCTGGTTCTAAAATACTCAGTACCCTATTGCTCTGTTTTATGTACAGGTTCTGCTTGAAAACAATTAAGTGTTCTGGAATTCCCATTCTTCACAACATTATTCATAATGTGTAATGATCCACACAGTTGAATGCCTTTTCATAGTCAATGAAACATAGGTTAACTTCTTTCTGTTATTCTCTGCTTTCAGCCAAGTTCTGTCTGACATCAGCAATGATATCCTTTGTATACTGTTCTCTTCTGAATCTGGGTTGAATTTCTAAAAGTTCCTTGTCAGTGTACTACTACATCCATTTTACTTGCCTGTGATGGTAGTGATATTGTTGGCTCCCTTTTCTTTGGGATGGGCATGAATATGAATCCCTTCCAGTCAGACGAACAGATAGCTGTCATCCAAATTTCTTGCCATAGACAAGTAAACACCTCCAACTCTACATCTATTTGTTAAAACATTTCTATTAGTATTCCTTTAATTCCTGGAGCCTTGTTTTTCGTTAATGTCTACAGTGCATCTTGGACTTCTTCCTTCAATAC